TGTCATGCCCGAAAGGGAACCTGGGTGTGTAGAAAAACAAACAGGGGGACTGGGGGTGTGTGACACATCATAACTCAGAAAAGTTAGTTTGGGCTATAGCATGCAAAATCACCACCAGCCATGTCAGCCACAGGGATTCTAGCAGTGGTACTCTTGCAACTTTTCCAAGTTCTGCTTCTGCCAGAGGCATATAGCATATGGGTCATACAGAAGAGCAAAAATGAACATGAGTTTTCATTAAATTTCAGTGCAGCTGCACCTTCTGTATTACTAAGGCAAAATCAGGAGGTACAGCCTTGATAGTTCCTAACCCATTACAGCAAGAGCAGGCGACTCCCATTGGCCACAATCTGCCAATAGTGAAGGATGACAGGAGCTGCACTTGAACAACACCTGGACAGCCACACATTGTCCATCCTTGGTGGATTGCAAGGCAGTATGGTTAGCCCAACTACTCCTTACAGGTGCAATCAAAAGTTTCATTGTTCCTTTCAAAGGAATATATTTTTGCCAAATGTACAAACACATGCCTTTGTATTTGTATAAACGGACTCTCCACACTAATGTGCTTAGGGATGATTATTTGTAAACAGTACTCCTCTATGTGCATGGGTGATCTCCAGATGAAGTACTTCCACTTTTGATACACTCATCAGTGAACTGGATACACTTGTCCCTTCAACATTTTGGTGTTAGAGGCACCCGATGTAGATCAAAAAGCATGTGTAACTCTTATGCTCCCCAAAACATAACTACAAAGCATAAACAGTTGATTCACATACACACAGTTCTCTCTATCAAAGTTCTCTTCCACAGCATTGACATTCTTTCCATACAGTACCATATGTAATGAATTTTAAAAGTTCTTATGACCCCCCTGATCTAGAGGCCTGGTTGTGTTTGAGGGCTAGCAGACCATTTCAACACCTCAGATGTTTAACTCATGGGATTTGGGTGCCCAAAGCGTATTTATTAACGGTTTATTTATTTGTTTGTTTGTCTGTTGAAAAAAAGTCTGCTCAGACCTGCAATTCAAGGGAGAAGTGTATATCCACACACAAACAAGCAAATTGTCCAAGGCAATCTAGTGAGTATCACAACTGGGCAAAACTTTCAACTTAGGTCATTTGATATCCAAACCACACTGTTTTCAACTGCACTGCAACATATAAAATGTGATATGCAATATTTCAGAGAGCAAATTCTGCTCTCTGAAATGTTGCATATCATTGTTAGATGATCATGGTTAGAAACAAAGGAGGCTAACTTTAGTATATAAAAAAAGGATCACCAGGCAAGACTAGGAAAGAACCTTGCCTAAATCTCTGGAGAGCCATTGTTGTCAGTCAGAGCAGACAATGCTAGCTTAGATAGACTAATGGTCTTCTTTAGTAAGTCATTAGTCCATCTAAGATAGCACTGTCTGTTCTGACTGACAGCAATGGCTCTCAAGAGGTTTAGGCAAGATTCTTTCCTAGCCTTGCCTGGTGATCCCTGGTATTCTCTCATAGTTTTCCATTTAAGTACTAACAAATACTCTGCTTACCTTGAAAAAGCAGACAAAACTATTTGACTTCAGGGTTGTGTCCTTATGGCAGAGAATGCTAGCAAATACTGTACAGTGTAGGTCACCCAGCTGCCCAACCCAGCTTAGTTTCACAGTCCTGGTTTTGGTGGCCACAAGAGATGCTTAATGCAAGGCTGTAGGTACTAGAGACCAGCAATATAACTTTCAAAGAAGTAAAGGAACTTATTGATAGTTAGGCCACTGTCGAAATGGCTAAAAATATACAGTATTCAGGGATTTACCAGCCCTGGTTTGTACACTGCTAAGGTTTAATTTGCCTTTCTGTCTTGCCCAGTGACAAATGCTATGAAACACAAAAACATGCTTATTCTTATTAACAAGAACGGATCCAATACAAATATCACCTACATATTTTCTGTCTCTGGAACTGAAACAGCAACAACTATTTCTACAGCACTCCACCCAGGCTTTTATTGCAACTCTTCCTTTATTATTATTTCAGTGACGGATAGAGACAGAAAAAAGGTGAACCAACTGCTCATTAACTCTCACAGATTTTGGCTCAGCAACAAGCTGAATACTTCTAATGGAAAAATCTAACACTCTTGTCCTGTTTATAGCTGCTCTGCTAGGCTTCACACCATCCAACAGGAGAATAGGAGTATATCCTCCATTGAAAGAATACTCCCCAGCATGCTACACTTGTTAGAGATGTTTATCATATATTGTTTTGGCCCATTTCCTCTTGTCAGACTCTCACCAGGCCCAGAGAAGACCTGTTGATTTCACTGAATGCATGAAGGGCTGCCCTTAGATTTATACAATATTGCTGGGGCTGGATAACAAGAGTGCAGATCTCGGGAGCTGCAGTCCAGAGAGGCTTGTGCAGGGGACTCTCAAATCTAGTAGCACCTCTAGATACATAAGCACAGAGAGAAGTATTGTCAAATGGAACTGGAGTGCAAGAAGTACAGTCTAGTACAATTCAGATAAGAGTGCAGTGGCTATACACAGCAGTAGTAACTGTCCATAATACTGTACAATCACCCAAGTGTTTCTGCATTAATGAACACTTCTAGTGTGATAGCTACACAAGGAATGCATAGAGCCACATACAATTAAGGGCCATATCCCAGTGGTACAGTAAGGGCTTGTAAATCTATCTATCTATCTATCTATCTATCTATCTATCTATCTATCTATCTATCTATCTATCTATCTATCTATCTATCTATCTATCTATCTATCTATCTATCTATCTGTCTGTCTGTCTGTCTGTCTGTCTGTCTGTCTTTCTTCAATGATAACTCCCAGAATAGCCATGATGGCTGGTGATTCTGGGACTTGTAGTCCAAAAAAAGTAACTTTCCTAAGATTTGGGCTACAGCACACGCAAAAGGCTGCAGGTTCAATATTTGGCATTTCCAAAGGCTGGGAAAGAAATCTGTGTGAAACCCTGGACAGCTGCTTAGAGACAATACAGAAACAGATGCTTAGATTCAGAGTACGGTCCATTTCTATGATACCAGGCCCATGATCCACTTGAAGGATACTGCAGCCATTCAAATCACAAAGTTTTGGGACTGCACTATAAACAGTTTGAGCTTTCCAGATTGAAGTAAAGCCTTTGACTCTACAGATAATGAAAAGCTATGGATCATTCTACAAGAAAGGTGTGTGCCACAAGTGATAGCTCAGTGGTTTAGATTTATGGCTGCAGAACTGGAGGTTTGGAGTTCAATTCCCCACTGTGCCTCCTTGACAGGGGGTAGACGTGATGATTCATAGCGTCCTTTCCAGCTCTGCAGTTCTAAGATTATTATTTGAATGGCTTGATGTGTAACTTACACTCTGGACAAGAGACTACTGTTAGGACAGAATATGGAAAAACAAAATGGTTTCCAGCTGGCAAAGGCGTCAGATGAGGGTGTTTTATCTCTCTGTTCAATCTCTATGCAAAACATATCATATAGAAAGCTGAATTAGATTCAGATGGAAGAAGAGGGAAAATCAGTGGAAGAAATATTTGTAATTTAAGATATGCAAATGACTCAGTACTACTAGCAGAAAATAGCAATGATTTGAAATGACTACTGTACTGAAGAAGTTTAAAGAAAAAAGTGCAAAAGCAGGATTACAGCTGAATATTAAGAACAGAAAAATATTGTAATGAATACATAACAATTACATGAAGCAAAAACTGTTAAAATATTTATAATATCTTGCTTCAACCATCGATCCAAATAAAGACTGCAGCCAAGAAATCAGAAGGAAACTGAAATTTTGAAGGGCAGCTGCGAAGGAACTAGAAAAAACCTCAAACATTAAAAATTTTGGTTTTGGCTGGCAACCAAGGTCACAATACTGTGGTATTTCTAGTTATGATACATGGATGTGAAAACTGTATAATGAAGAAAACTGACAGGAAAAAAATTGATTTATCTGTAATGTGGTTTTGGAGGAGAGTTTTAGGGATACTGTGGACTGCAAAATAGACAAACTAGTTTGTCCTGCATCATATCAAGCTGAACTCTCAGTAGACACTAAAATAATTAGAATGAAGCTACCATACTTTGGACGGGCCATGAGAAGACATGACTACCATAACTGGAAAACACAGTAACGCTAATAAAAATAGAAGACAGTAGGGAATGAGGGAAACCAAATATGAGATGCACTGATTCACTAAAGGAACCAATTTCTGTTAATGTGAGAATTGATGAGGGGTCCTTAATTTAAAAGGTCACCTTAAGTGGAAGGGACCAGATGAAAGGTAACAAAACAGTAGGCACAGTAGGCATTGGGATCCAAGAATCATGGGCCAATTGCCACTTACAAATTATTTTTCTTGGAGCACCAGAGCACTAAGTCACTCGCTCTCATCACAGAACTCCCGTTTCTATTCATGCAAAGTAAAACTCAGGTCTCTTTATATGTAAAAGAATGAGAGCCAGTTCTATTAAAGGGAGAAAAGGCCACAACTTAGATAGAAATCCTCAGTTTTTTGAAAGTCATTCCTGGCAACTGAAATACTACCTTTTCACATCAGGGCTGCACCCCTGATGCAGCAAGCCCCACTTAAATCTACCAGACATCCTTTTTGGTAAGCACGTCTAAAAGCTGAGACAGTGGGAGAACGTCAGACTAGGACTAAGCGGATCTGGATTCAAATCCCCCCACTGGACCATGAAAACTGTGGGGTAGCAAATCCCTCCTCGAAAACCCCATCTATTTCGAAGTACGAAGTGACCTGGTAACAACAGGTAAAACTTCATCGCAAGGTTATCCCCTCCAGTTGAAGTCCAGCCCTATTTAAGAGGGATTCGCTCCCAGGTCAATGCGAAAAGCAGTGCAGCCACAGAGGTGCATTTTCCGGATATATCTGTCGATTCGTATACGGGAGGGGGGGGGGAGAGGGAGAGAGAAAGACAGGTGTTCTTTCGCCAAAGAAAACTCAAAAGAGCAAACTTACGGCGCTGGCACAAGCCGGGCACCACCACCGCGGCGACCAAGCGAGCTACCCCAAGAAGGGGGCCAGCAGGACCTCGAGGGCATTTCTGCAGGGAGACGAGCCCGGCCGTGAGCACCGCCAAAAGCGGGATCCACATAATGCCAAGGAAGCGGCCCCTCTCCTCTGGCTCGGAGGCTGCGGCGACTTTCGGCCCCGGGACTGGCCGGCGGGTGGGTCGCCTCCCCCGACGTGGGCACGGCGGACAACCCGAGGAGGCTCCGCCGACCCCACGGAGGCGCAGGTGGGAAGCAGCGGTGGCGGTGGAAGAAGAGGAGGCGGCGGCGGAGGAGGAGGAGGCGGAGCAGCAGCAGCCGGAGCAGCGCCGCCGCATGTCAGGGCGAGCACGGCAACCCGTCCGGCGAAGCCACGGCCGTCCAACCGGGACAGCGGGACGAACGAAGCGCTTCTTTCCCAGCGAGGCTCTCCATCCGCCCGGGCGGTCCCCCCCCTCCCCGCTTCGCTCTCCCAGGGCGCCGCCGCGGCCGCACACAAAAGGCTTTTGTGGCTCCCTCCGCTTTTGCGCCCGGCGCCTTGGCAACGCGGGGAAGGGGCGCCCGCTTCTCGGCAGCCGCGCGAAGGCAAAGAAAAAGGCGAGCGACGTCGACGTGCCGCCCTGTCCAGCGAGCCAGAGAAAACCACCACACACACACATCAAACTGTGCACGTCGGTCTTTCGGTGAGGGGGCTTTCCCTCTCCTGCAGCTCAGGGCGAACCTCTCTCTTTTTTTCTCTCTCTCTTTTTCCGCCTTGCTCCTCCCGTCCCGGCGTGGGCAGCGGAGCGGCGGAGGCGCGCTTGGCTCCCTCCCCGCCAACCACCGCGCCGGCGGGGTTTCCCCCCCGCCCCGCGCGGGAGCCGAGCCCACACACCCACCCGCGCTGCCTCCCAGCCCTCTTTGCTTGACGGCGGGGTTCTCTGGCGGCGGGCGAGGAACGAAAGAGAGGGAGGGAGGGAGGGAGAAAGGACATACGGAGGGGGGAGAAAGCAGGGGGGAGAAGGAGGCTCGGGTGTGGGGGCGGGAC